CATGAATGAGGACCTACCAAGATTCCACTAAGTGCTACAGGACAGCTATCACCACCCCCACCTCCACCCCTACACCCCACCAGTGGCACCAACTTCCAATAAGTCTGCTCCAGCTACCACAGGGTCCAGGCACTATGTGTAGAATGACACCCACAGGCAAAGATTTCCTCCCTGCCTTGGGTCACAAAATCTGGAACTCTAGGGCAAATGAATGAACGAGTGAACAGATATCAAGCGCCTACTGTGAGAAGCAAAATGGTAACCGTGAAAAGACCATCCATCACTTAGCAACCTGCAGCCCTGGGCACCTCGCTTATACTCTCTCCTCAGTTCCTATCCCATCGGACTAGGAATAAACAACACCTACCTTACAGAGTTACCTTAAGGATTAAATGAGAGTGCTCTTTCCACAACAGCAGCAATTAGAAGCAGTCACCAGGGAGAACTGGACTCTGACCAGACTTGGAGCCTCACGGAATCAGAAGCGGAGGAGAGGATCTCACTCATTCGCTGCTCCTTAGTTTTTCCCAGGAGAAAGTGGGAGTGGCCAAAGGAAGTAACACTCACTCTCAGGACCCAAGCACTCTGCTAGAGTGATCGATGCAATTTTACACCCCACCAACAGCCAGGGATAAGGCTCATCCCCCCTTGATGAACAGGGAAATTGAGGCTCAAGGAACAAATTTGCCTGGGGTCACTGAGGTAGTCCAAAGGAGAAACCAGGGCCAGATATTCTGAACTTGCCCCGAGCACACTCACCCACAAACCTCCCAACGGGGCAGCAACGTGCTGAGCACATGTATTTTGGGGGGGCAACGGCCCGGTGACAAGGAGCGAGGTCAGATGATGGGTTTGGTGGCCCAGGTCACACCCAGCAGCTGTGTGATCCCAAAGTCCTCAGCCTCCCACATCCCAGATTCCTCATGGAGGACGTGGTAATAGCAACTGCCTGTCTGGGTTGTTACGAGGAATAAATGGGCCAACCTGCACAGACTACTTAAATGGTGCCTAATCCACATAAGTGCTCAATAAATATCGGCCACCACCATCATCATTAATTATTATTGCTTTCACAAGGACTAAAGCCAATACTAATGTCCTTATAGCCTCTTCCCTTGGGAGGCTGATGCCACAGGCTCATAGGACAGGGGTCTGGGGGCTCACACGGATTCACAGAGTGACTCAGGAAGCTTCATGCCAAGCAGGGAAGCAGCCTCTTCCTTCTGGGAACTAGGACCCCCTGCCTGCCTTCCCTTTTAGAATCCATCTCTTATCACTTGGCAGCAGAGCCCCCTTCTGTCCCCCTGTGGCTCCATCTTCCTGCTACAACTTGAACGCTACAGCTTGGGCTTGGACAAGGGAGAAGGAAGAGTAAGTCAGGACAGACAGTGGAGGGGATCAGGTGGGAGTTTAGGGGAAGGAGCAGTGAGGCTTGCAGCTTTTAAAGAGACAGTGCCACGGGGTTCAGTGTGGACCAAGCATTGCTCAGCAGAGCCTACAGGGCCATTACCCTAATCATGAGCATCTCCCAAACAGCCCTTTGATTTATTAGCACAGCGTCTTCTTAAAATGCCGCTCTTAAATGTAAATAACACTTAATCATCCAGCTGTCGTTAAATTCATGTTGTATTGATTTCTCAGAGTGCCGCAAATTTGAGGGCGAATGGGTTGGCGGATGTGCGCACAAAGCCAAAAGGCGGATTAGCAAATTGGGGGAGGGGTGCTGAAGGAGGAGGAAGGGGGGTGTCCAGGGAGGTGCCCCAGGGTCTGAACCAGTTTCACATCGGGTAGCACTGGACACAAATAAGAGGAGAGGAGGGGCTGGCACATCTGTTGCACAGACTAATCACAGCCAAGATCACGGTCGGTTTTCTGTGTTGCTGCCGCCCCATCATGGCCCATCCTAGAGCTGCTCCAACAGGTCTCCGATGTGCATTGTCTGTGTAGTGCGTGGCTTCTCTGGGTGAGGAGGGGGAGAAGCAGCTAAGAAATGCCCCCTAGCTGGCTGGGAGGAGAGAGATTCGCTACGATTTCTTTGCATCAAAGCCTGGTGATAACTATGAGCTAAGAGCGGATGATGACCCAGCCCCTTAGCTCTGTCCCCTCTCCAGGATTGCTACCACCCTGGAAAGCCCCCACTGAATTCCCAGCAGCCCCCATTGTGATTAAAAGGATCCGGAGGCCAAGGGTAGGCAGACTCTGCCATGCAGATTTCCCTGTCTGCGGGGAGCAGCAGCGGCAGGCAGTGGAGAGGCACAGAGAAGGAGAAAGGAAACAAGTTGGCTGCCTCAGACTCCTCCGGAAATGTCTGCAGAGTGTCGGTGGGCATCCAGGGTGAAGTCCTGGGAGGGACGAGGAGAGCCCCGGGAGTATGGCATTGGGCAAGAAGGAAGAGCCCATGGGCGACCCACACAGAGAGCTCACAGGAGAGCCGCCTACAGCACAGTCTAGCGAGCAGCGAGGGTCCAGAGAAGCGTTTGTGGCTGGGGTTTTTCTAGTGCGACTTCCCTCCCAGGGAGGAAGATGCCAGAAAACTTAAAAGGAAGGCCACAGAAGAGCGGTAGAGAGGGAGGGTGACAGCGTGGTGTGCTCCGGGGCTGGGCAAGAGAGCCAGGGACACACGAGACGGTGTGCAGCCGGCTTCACACAGATGGTAATTAATGCCTGCCTTGCCCCAGAAATCAAACTGGTCCCTAATGCTAAGTGCAGAAAGTGCGGGGATTTTTTTGAACCCAGATGTTTAGCTTATAAACAGCCTGATGACTTGGCTTTGCATTAAAATGACAGATTCTGAGGCTGCAAATATATGAGAAAGGAAAGAGGGTCGGGAGGGAAGCAGAGAAAGGAGCAGAGGTCTACGGGGAAGATGCACAGACATTCCAGATGTGCACATTTAAGATCTGTAGCCCAATCTTTCGCCATTTCTAGGTCCCCCAAGGGAATGTTTACCTGGGAGGCACCACTGTGACTGGAGCTCACTATTTCTGTTGCAAACCATGTGGTGCTCTACGCATACATGGGACCTCCCCGTCCACACACTGGAAGGGCATGCCTGTGGAAATGTTCCACTTTTTCCACAGCCCGGAAGACAGAAGGGACCCCATTGTCACACATGGTTGGATGAGCTGACCACATTGAACCTGACTCTAAGAACACATGTGTATATCTGGGTGTGTGCATACACACGCCCACCATTCTTAAAAAGAAAACAATGTTCCTTCCCCCTACTGGCTTCTCCCCATTGTGAGACGTTTGCTTTATGCCATCTACCCTTTTCAGTCGATCAAAGGCCAGCTCACACAGCACACAGCAGGAGTACAATTTCCCTCCAGGGGCATCTACTCTTCTCCTCCCCAGCCCAGCCAAAGACCTTTGCAGGAGCTGAAAAAAGTTTGAAAATAGCAGAGGTTGGGGTGCAGGAAAAAAACCCTTTATTTCAGCACCCCTCTACAGGATTTGCAAAAACAACCCAAATTCTGTGCCCAGCACTGAGGCCTCCTTGTTCAAAAGAATGCTTGCTCCTTTCTCCTCTTGTTCTGGAAGATTCCCAACATATTTTTCCCACTGGTGGGTTGTGGGACACTCTGAACACATGATCTTGTATAGAGGGTACAAGCTTATTTCATTTTTTGTCAGGTTGCCCAAACAGCTTCCTCAAAGGGACAGCCATAGAAACATAGGAGCTTGCTGTATGTATATCCAACTCCAAAATAATGTTTTGTTTGGATCTCACAGTCTTCTCTCTACAACAACTGAGCCCCCAAGTGAGTTGCTCTTAGACCCCAAGATGGGAACTATATATATATATAAAAGCCCTTTTGGAGCTCCGACCACCCCCTACCTTCTCCAGAAAAAGTTTGTAAATGAGCAGCCTGTGAAACTCTAGCCAGAAAGAAAAGGAAAGGAAAAGCCTTAGAGAAATAGAGCCTTGAACCACCAGCTTCTGGAGAATGATTCTACGCTCAGGAGCAGCAGGGCTCTGGGGGACGCTGGCAGACCCAAGAATGTCTTCTTGCCTTACAGGGTGGGCACTGCCTGAGTGGTCATGAGAGAAGGGACCCTCCTCCCTTGGAGGACTACACCCCTCTTTCCCTGCCCCACCCCGTTCTTTTTCTCAGACATACACCTAGAAAGGCATGTGACAGGTGTTAGCCTGAGGCACAGGGGGAAGACAGCCCCATGTGCCCGGGGAAGGGTAGGGAGGTGAGAGGGAGATCCAAGTCCTGTGTCCCCAAGCCCTGTCTGTGTGCTGTTTCCCAGAGACTGAGGATGGGAATAAGGTCACACCTTTTAAAGGAAGGTCTGACCCCCATACCTCCCCTCACCCCCCAGACAAGCAACACACACGTAGCGATGCTTAAGCCCCTTCCTGCCTGAAATCCCGGCGCATTCCCGGGGAAGCTGAGCCACGCTTCGGAAAGGCGTTTGTGCTGCCTCTTACCGGGGAAACGCAGCGTCTGTGCCACATGCACCGCCCAACCTAACTGCAGCCCCAGCCGCCTATGTGGCCTCCTCCTCGCGCTCCGGGCCACACGCTGTCCAAATATTTGTCCGAATACCCGTCGGTCCCACGGTGTCAAAAGATCACGGAGCAGCGATTACACGGGCGGGTCTCCCGAGACCTCCCATGACTTCTCCCGTTTTTAAAAACCAGCTATAGAGGAAAGGGGCTGGGAACTGAAACATCGCACCCTCGACCTACCCGGGTGAGAGGGCGAGTCGGTAATACATGGAATCCCACCCCGAAAGTCCCGGGGAAGAGAAGTCTGAGTGCGGGAGCGCGAGAGGAGAAAGCAGCCGGGAAACCCCTGCCGCGGCCGCTGCTCCCACGCGGGTGCCCAGGTGGGACGTGGGCAGGTGCGTGAGCGAGTGTGTGCCTGCGCGTGTGTGTGCCGCCGACCGGCTCCGAGGCAGCCGGGGACTCCCGGGCCGGCCCGCGTGTCTCCCCCGCGCTGCCCTCGCCACCCGCCGCCCCGCGCCCCAGCCGGCCGCCTCCTCACCTGGAAGCGGCGCGTTTCCCTCCTTCAGCCGGAGCGCCGCATTGACACTGCAGATGGTGCCTGTGCCGCTGCCTCTCGCCCTCCTCTGAACGTGTGCGTGTGCGCGCGTGTGGCTGCCTCCTCCAGCCCCAGCCCCGAACGCAAATACTCCAGCGAGGCACGGGGAAGCCGGGAGCAGCCAAGGAAGACGGAGGGGCCCAGATCGGCGCCTGCGGGGCTTGACAGCTCCTCTTGCAGCGTCCAAGGTGGGCGTAATGTCCAACAAAAAGGTCGGGAAACGTGGATCGATTCCACGCACCCTCTCCTCCACCCAGCCCCGGAGCCCGAGCGGTGGCGGCGGCAGCTCCCGGGGGCTGGGGTGGCGACGCGGGGCTGCCCCCCTTCGTCCCCACCCCCGCGGGCTGAATGTCCTTGATGCCAAGCGGGCACGGCGGCGTCACTCCGCGCCGCCCATGCTCGCCCGGTCGGGCCGCGCTGCCCGGGCGCGGCGAGT